AACGAATATTCATGGAACCGACGTCTCATGATTGTGAAGAGTGGAACATTGCGTTTTTAGATTACACTGAGGATGGGATAAAATGGGCATCAATATACGTCCACATGGACAATTTTACCACACGTGACGTGAACATCCTCATCTAGCTGGAAGTGACTCTCATTGCGGCGCCTGCCTGACGTCTGGGCTGCACAGCGCCTCCAACACCACCGCCGCCGCCGCCGCCCCCAGCAACTTTTATTAGTCGCCTCGCGACCGCTGACATTTCGCAATATTCTGAAACGTCACCCCTCATAACAGCGCTACTGACGCGGAATTGCCGATCCAATTAGAGTGACAAGTGTCTCTATTTGATGCAAGACCAACGCCAGTTGATTGGCGAATCAGCAATGCTGTTTGCTTTATACGAAAAACGAAAAGTGACGGGCATTTTTTTGCGGAGCGCGGTTCAGCAGTGTCCGCTTTCTTTTTGTCGCGTCGGACGTCGGGGGCGCATCGAATCAATTAACATTGCATTTGTCGGCTGATCGCTGGGGAAGGGGACTGGGAGGGGGAGTGTGATGGTGTCGGATGGCGACCGTTGCGCGGCGCGACGTACTTGGCTAGCGGCGATCTGGTAACCTCGCTTTTCGTTTTGAACGTGTCGCATGACAGCCGTGTTGCCAGGTTACTGATTTTCCCCCTAAATGTAGGGGGGGGGTGATTTTTGATGGGTTTTTAGGGGGCAAATATATTTCCGAGTTTTGTTGGGGAATTTTCGTTGAATTTTTTAAAGTTTATTTTTGAACACAAATTGGGCATCTTAAAATTACAAAATCCAAAAATAGTTTCTTGAAATTATTGTAGGTATACTTATTGAAATATAAATAAAGGTCGTAAAAACACTTTTGAGCGAGTAAGATCATTTGAATTTGGGCTAGTCATTTAAAATTGGGCGGTTATTTGTCGCAAGTAAAGATGATAGAAGAGGGTGGTGGTGCATACGATGGATATTTCCGGGAAAAGTCTCAAGTGAAAGGCCCGGTGGGCAAACCCCCAAGTACTTTCGGAGAACGGGAAACCTTCCAAAAACGCCAAACAATTTTTGAAAGTTTGAAATACTTTTCATTCATTCGCCAAAATAATTTATATTTTTTTAAAGATATGAACATTTCAAATTTAAAGATTTATTTATAATTTAAACTAAATTATTTATATCATAATTATTTCCAAGGAAATATTCAACTAGAAGACTCGAAAACCAAACGTCATCATGTAGATAAATTTTCTCTAGTCTTGACATATTCTCTCTACCCTTGAAAATCCATCTCGTCGTTCATAGTTGTTTCAAAAGAATGCATATATAATTCTTAATAATGAACTGATTACCCAATTTAACACAAAACACGTGGCACAAGGCAGCAAATTAAAATTTGGGTCAAAATATTACACTATATTTTATAAAGTATTTTTTACTCAAATTAATGATGCGTAGTCAAAAAAATGTTTCCAAGTGAAGCCGTCGAGTACCACGTGCTGGATATAAACTAGATTCGTTATCTTGATATTTGCTAGTAAAACGTTTTTTACGTAATGTTTTGTAAAATATGTGCTTTAATTTTTTATTTTATCGTTCGTTGATAGGCCTTACTTTCCTAATTCCTTTCAAACCTTCCTAGTTAACTTTTAATTAAGCATCTTCAAGTACAATATTTACTGCATTCAATGTCTGCCTTTGAATCTCTTCAAATTGTTTACCATCTAAAGAATTTTTCTTCCAAACCTAGTTTCGTATTTTTATTTGGATTTTCTTCCCTTTCGTTTTTATCTCGTGTAGTTATCCTACTTTACTTTGTCCGTACAACGTTCTTCCTTGTTTCTTCAAAAGTCTCACAGTATCTCTTACTCATACCCAAGAATAAATACTTCTATAACTTTTTGTTGTATATCTTTCTATAACTTTTTTCCGAATTAATTCTTCTGATATTGATCACATGATATTCCTCCTAAAGGTAATACATCGAATGCACCATTCATTTCTTCAATAATGACATCCTTTCCATCGTATCCGTATTACCTTCCTTGTCCTCCCCTGAATGACATTCCTTATCTTCTGAATCACATCGCGTTTTTTCCCTTAGCAATACTTCGCACATCATTCGGAACAGTTTTCTTCGTTTATTTCCAGATACATTAATTTTCACCTTAGCTATTTCACCAATTCGCATTTTACTTGCACGCCTTCCTGCTGTTTCATTTGCGTATTGGTCGACCCAGCGCCGCCATCGTGTGCAGGGAATGATGTTCCTCGCGCGCGTGTCTGCGGCGTTCGAGAGCGCTGCCGCCCGCCCTGGCGGCGCCTTGCGCAAACACGCAACAAAGGCGAACCGACTGTGCGCGCAGGGCGTTGGCACCCGTGGCGGTGGTGGCGGTGGCGGAGGCGGAGGCGGTGGCGGTGGC